GAGATGTAGGGCAGCGTAAAAATTTTATTGTAATAAGATGCCATGGATTGAAAGGTCGAAGAATTGGTCAGCCAGCGTATTGACAAAAAGCATGGGATGCAATATCTGCGTGATGATCAAACATTGGTCCCTTCAAGAACCCCACAAACCCATGCTTTTCTTCCTTGTCTATTTGAGTGAATACTTTTATTCGTAAACGATATCACTTGCATCTCCTCAATGCTTGAGATACTAGTTTTGTCAGTTTCCCAAGGGAGTTTGCAAGGCATTTGGTGTAGCTTTGCAACAGCTTCTTATGACGTGTGGGGGACCTATGAAATGCATGCATCGTAAAGCATGTATGGATATGCTCCAGTCCATCATTGGGATTCTTTTTTGTGCTCTCTGCTTATTTTCCTCTTATTTCCTAAATCCACTTTTGTGGAATGTCGAACGAACTTGGTGGATATAATTAAAGCTGCTCTGCTTGACAAATCGTGATTAACTCGACATAAAAAAACTGCATAAGCCCTAACTTCTCCTCAAGTTTGCTGTATATCACTCGGGGAAGTTGCTGTATGCAGTGGTTGAACCTACTGTTAAGAAATATTTCAGGCGAATCATCCGATTCTGCTGATCCGAAGATACCTTGGGGAACGCTGGACAGCAGGTGTGATTTCGCGCCGACATGAAATGGTTTTGATGCGGTATGGATGCGTAGAGGGTTATCCAAATTCGTCGTGCCAATAAAATAAACCTGGGTATTAGCTATCGTGGAACTGCAAGGAAAAGGTCAAAATTTTGCCCTTAAATGTGCTACTTGAGTCTGTTGATTTACTGCAAAGAAATGCAATGCCATGAAAACGCCCTGCGTTATGGGTACAGGTTGTCCAAACTCCTGTAAGACCTCTTTAGATCAACTTGAAGCTCTAAACGTATGATATCGCTTTCAGGTGGGGAGGGAAAGGATCACCATTATCCCCCTTCCCACTCTCCTTATTCCTCCGATATTCCTCTTAGGTGTGCTTATCTGCCTTTCTTTCTTCATCATAATCTTATTCATACAAAAGGACAGGTATGAAATTTACTTTTGAATTACGTATGCCATTTGGTCATATTGATATCGCTACTCTTTTTGCAAAGGTCACTGTGACAAAGTGCATTTTCCTCTTCCAGCTAAGGCTACTGCAATTGTGAAATGTTTGTAAAAGAATGTCAAATATTTGTCACGTTATCTCCTTTTCAAATGTCTAATCGAAAACGTACTAATTAGTAGTTTCACAAATTGGGACTTTCAATGGTGTGTCCACCCGCCTCTGCATTTTCAGTTGAGCTACATCGACTCCAGTCGTCCAAATTCTCCATCCAGCGTTCTGCTTACCAACAGCGGAAGCACCACCGTCACCCCTGCCACCAATACCATCACCACCACCCCTTCTCCGCTACCCCCCATCACCACCAACTACGTCTCTGTCACCTCTCCAACCCGCACCCCCGCATGCGACAACAGGGAGGAGGTGGTGTCGACCGCGGTTCGACCACCTCCAGCCTCCTGCTTGCCGCTGGAGGTAGTGAACTCGCTACCTGGTGTGCCGAGGTGGTCGCCAACGTCGGTGCGACGACGACTACGGGGTCACCGTTACCGCTACCGCCATCATCCAGGGCCTCATCTGTCCCGGGACTGACTGTTAGTGGTGCGACCAACACCACACTTTCCGCTGCTGTGGTGCATCATGCTGACAGCGCATGTCAACGTGTCAGGGTGAGTTTAGCATTGGACCTTAGGGGAAGCTTTATTATATTCAAATTTCACTGATCCGTCTCTGTCCTCAGCAATTTTTGTCATAGAGAATTTTAAGCTGTCCCATTGTGGTATCGTTTTGCAGCGCTTTGATTACCTGAAGTCGTAATGAGTCATAAAGGGTATTCACATGACCATGCTGCCAATGGTAAGTTCAGTCTACGGTAACTGAAGGGCTCGCATAGTCAGTCAATCCACGGTTAATTGAAATGCTCCATCACTGCGGCTTCATTACTGACCATGATGTACAACCTAAGAGTGGGGTAGCTGCCAAAGTCAAATGGGTTTAAAAGACCCCTTACGTTGTGACTCTCTGTAGTTCCAGTCATATAGATGAAACACCGAGGCGCCGAACCAATTTTATGGCACTTTTTGTGCATTAATCGGCTCATCCGTTTGGACGTAGGCCTTTCTCCAAGCACTTACCAAAATATGTAGACTTCCACTGTAAGATGTCTAGGGTTGGCCATTAGCTCTATTATCATTGGAATGACTGGAAGCCTGGTGGTTCCACTCATTTCACCTGTGCGGAGATCAAATGACAGAAGACTGAGAAAATCCGCGAAGTGCCTCAGCGAAAATCCTCACCTACACTGCTTTTTTTCACTAAGACATCCAGCAATCGAATAAGATGGTGCGGTCTTTTATGATAAAAGTGAACATTTTTAGAGGATGAAATTTATTCGCTGAAATGGTTACCACAATTCAAAGTATAAAATCCCTTCCCAAAGGGCCATAAGCCACTTGTGAATTCCACATTTGTGAAATGTTTTTCTGCTAATTTATAGTCACGAATACGTGAATGAAAAGACTTTAGGGAAGTGGATGTCTTAATGGCACATTCCGGAGCACGGCGGGTTTACGGTATGTCCCTGAAATGCTATAGTACTGGGGAGGGGTTCCGCCTTTATCGTATTTATGTCTTTTCGAATGACCTAGAGGTGGAAGGTGGGTACTGGCGTGGTGTGTGGGAGTACTTCTTTCTCCTACCGTTTGAGGCAGTCGAGAAAAACTTAACAAGACCATGAATCGCGGGTGTTTCTAGAATGCTTGAAAATTAGGTGTGAAGAATACACTCAATAAAAACATTCAGAAAGTCGAAATGGGGACGTACTTTTAGCATTGTGACTATCTGCAGCAATTTCTTCTGGAAGCTAGAATAGAACTGGATGTACGTCAGCACGAACGCCGGTGCACTCGTGTTAAGAAGACCTGGTTAGACAAAGACTTCAGAACAGATGTCTCCACTCCCGCGACTGGTGTACAGTGCGTGTGTTTAATCCGAGCGTATGGAGACTGGAGTGGGCCGTCGCGTGCACATTTGCCCCCGGGGGCCTGGGGTGTTGGCGTCCCTAAAGTAACGATGTTGTTCCGACTCTCATGTATTTATATCTCAGGCGAAGGGGGGTACTACGCTACAAGTTTCATAGTCACATCATACTAGAGATTGTGAGATGAGAGTTCCCAAGGTGCTTGCAAAAGAGCCTCGAAAGGAGGAATTCATATTTCTAAGTAGTAAATTCCAGAAATTCGCGACAGGAACTCTTTTTTGGGATTATGAATAATAAAAATCAGCTCTAACCCCGGCCATTTCCGTTTCCACCTTCATGCCTAGTTTATATTCTGCATGTGATTATGTTATTGTTTGATTTATGCCAAGACAGGGTGCTAATTATAACTCAGGGAGAATATGAAGATAGGTAGGGTGAGGATGCGGTATATCTTTTAATTTTTCTAACTCCTCTCTCTCATTACAAATCAGTCATTTCTATGTGAGCTTTCTTAGTTTATTTTTTTTGGTGATTATCTACAAATCCACCTTTCTATTGCAGATGACAGTTTTTACGCACTGGCGAACTGGATTTATATAAACATGGGCTTTTTTGAAGCGATGGTGAAACGTGCTACCTCCCTCTAGTGTAATGCTGGAGTTGCTGCCGTAGGCATTACGATATATGTATAGACGGGTTGTTGAGGTAGTTTTATGGATGGCCAGGTCTTAGGAGACTGAAACGATTATTGCACTCGTGCATACGATTAAAAGAAAGATCACTTCGCTACAAAATCATACCAAGCCATGCAATTCAGTCACGTGACGTTATTAGCACATACCATTTGAAAACCTCAAGTTAAGACACGCTTCCTTCTCATTTGAGCACTTTTTTTGTCACTCATCAGACACTCAAAGCTTTACTCGATTATGTTTAACTAAACCATTGCAGATTGTAGACCCGAGTCAAATTCTAAACGATCGCCTGCTGAAACTGGAGTGGCCGTCGCACAGTCTACTAGCCAAGTGTTTACCACAGTCGGCCTGTCCCCTCTCCAGTTTGATGGGTGCGGAGGGTATACTGGTGCATCGCTGGACACCGAGTAATATCGATCCCTGCAAGCGCTCCTTCTGTCACCGCAACATTGCTCTCATCACCTTCCCTGAAGGCCCAATCACACTGGAGGGGCATTATGTTGCTATTTGGGAGGACCTGGGGCTTGAATACATACCACCTCTCAACGCCTAGTTGTGATCAATACCATTGTTGTGTAAATGTAGATATTACAATGAAGCTTTCGTTATTTTGTTCTTAGTTTTGTGGTGTACAAATCAATAACATTAGTCTTAAATGAAGAAGGTTGGGATTCGTGGTGTTGAGAAAAGAAGGAACTTGCGTGGGTGGAGGATAGGGTTGCATTTCGGATACGTGGACTTTGGAGGTCCCGTCGAAGGCATGCCTGCTTTTATCCACCAGTTCCGTTTTGAACTCGCTATTGAGGGGTAAGTACTGCGGTTTAAAGTGGGGGTTATTATGCCCGGGGGATACCCCAGTATCGATGGCTGTGGGTGTGACGCTAATTCGGTTTATCGCATACTAGGCTTACGATGTAAAAAAGCGTTTGGGTGGATTTCATTCCGTAGACAGTATATTTTTAGACCCTGTCTTTTATGCAGTATGATTCTGAGGTAGTTGATATCAGTGATATTTGCGTCGACTACACGCCTAAGAATTGGAGTAATGATCGTGACCTACGATTTATTGATTCATTTTCATCCCAACTACTATGGTCAAGTAACCAAATAACCATCGCAGTTTGCTTCATTTACGCACTCCTGTGCGTTTGGGTCGCTCACACCTCAGAAACGTTTCATAAACCAAAATTAATAAAAGAAAGAATAGGACTAGGTCTTTTGCCCACCTACATAAACGTTTTAGGTACAAAGTAAATTAAATTTATCAAAAGTGGTCGCTTGGTTGCAGAAAGGTCATAAAATTAAAACGGTGACAAACATCCTTGCTCTTTACGATTGTAAAGGTCAAGTTATAGGTAACTAGACCCAATATTTAGTGTAATTTGCAACGCAAAACACCTAGATATACTAAACTATTTGCATGCATCCCTTTTTGATCACCATAATAACTTTTAGCGAGCGGAATTTTGTTTAACTGCGCTAGCATTATCTTGTATAATAGTACTGCAGCGCCTACATTTTCGAAGCATTGGTGGCTTTACGCTTGGGTCTGGGCGATGGAAGCAGTTTCCCTTGTTGGCGCTGATATTGCCGTTTTAGTTATTTACTTTTTAGTTGTCTTAGGGACTGGATTGTTTGTACGTATTTTATTTGGTATTTCAACTCTCTACCTAAAATACGTAGGCGATGTTTCGTGCACGTGTAAATTCAGTCCAAGGTTATTTCTTAGCTGGAAGATTTATGACATGGATTCCTGTATGTACGTATTTTGTTTATGGATTTCTTGAAGGTTGGGGCCTCTTTATTTGCTAGTAACATCGGTAGCGAGCATTTTATTGGTCTCGGTGGCTCAGGAGCCGCTAAAGGCATAGCCGTTGGAGCTTTCGAATTTAATGTAAGCTTTCCAATTCAACTTCTAAATTTAAGTCGATATAGGATTCTGTGTTAAGTCTCCTGTTTTCATTGTAGGCTGCCATTTTGCTGCAATTGCTAGGGTGGGTTTTCCTACCCGTTTATATATCGAGCGGTGCGTTTACCCTCCCAGATTATATGAAAAAAAGGTTCGGCGGCTCAAGAATACAAATTTATTTAACAGTGCTATCGCTTCTGCTGTACATATTTACAAAAATATCAGTAAGTTTTAATCGAAATTGTCCTAAGAAGCGAAATGAGTAGCACATTTTGTAAATCTGTTTCTTTATTTAGGTCAATCTTTATTCCGGTTCACTTTTCATTACTGAAGCACTCGGCTGGAACATATGGTTTTCAATCTTGTTCACACTTGCTATGACTGCTGTGATTACTATATCAGGTGAAATCGTGTCAATGGAAGTTTTCACGAAAAATCAGTCTTTCCCTAGGATGTCCATTTTTTATTCTAGGTGGTCTTGCTGCTGTACTTTACACGGACTTAGTGCAAACGTGTGTGATGTTATTTGGAGCTGTCCTCCTTACTGCGATTGGTAAGGCCATTCAAAAAATTCCCTTATATTATTTAATAACTGCGTTGTATGCTCCCTCTCTTATTTCCACATTCACCTCAAGACGATCGCGACACTTAATTTGTGTAACTTCTCAAGTTTTGACAAACTTATTCCCTATTTTTACCACCCTAAATACAGCAGAAAAGTAGAATGACAAAGTGAAACGCGGCTTTTCCTTTTATTGAACTTTTGTACTTTATTTTAAGTTGGCTAATTGCAAAGAGCATGAGAAGGGGACCAAATTTTTGTGTTGTTTTATATCTTTTCCTGTTTAATTACAAGATCAAAAAAATCAAAACAGTTACCAGCTTTACTACTGCTAAGCAGATAAAAGAGTTGTATTGTTTTCAATACAGGGTTTAGCAAAATTGGGGGTTTCAAGGGGCTGTTGGATTTCTATGGAGCGGCAATCAGTGCAATAGATGTCAACGCCACTGCTGGGGCAGCACTGATCATGAACATCCGCGGCGTTGCGTCTTCAGAAGCCTCGCCAGGCCTCACACCGACAGTGGACAGTGTGGCCGCCTCGCCGAATACCTCCGCCGATCTGAAGTGCGCATTGCCCTCTCGTAGCGCTTTTGTGATGCTGCGCGATGTCTCCGATCCTGAAATGCCTTGGCTTGGCTATATTTTTGGCCAAACGCCCGCCTCCATCTGGTATTGGTGTGCTGATCAGGTAAGATAAGGATTAGTTTCAGGGATTTTTTTCATTCAGTCATCGGATCTTAAGCTCCTTACTTGAAATAGCAGCAACGCAAAGCCTTACCTTGATTTGCAGTAAGCTTGGAGAGGATGCATTTACTACCGTTTTCGGCTGTTCCATCTTAAGCATTTACTTTGATCTCAACCAAGGTCTCCTGCATAGCTGGGGGTTTCTAAGATCCCTACATTTTCACCACTCGCACTGTTACATTCTAGTTTGTTTTTCTCTTATTCTATTCGGGACTCATTTTGGTATGTCCCTAAAAGTGAGCATTTCAAAAAGATGAAACAAAGTGGTGATACTACTATCCTATAGCGCAAGTGTGAAATGATGGAGCATATGTTTGATCACATTGGCATATTATGGTATTCATTATCACTCAATCAACGGGTTAATAGCACTAGAAGTACTGTATGCTCCGAGCACTTGGTAATTCACAAAAGTAGTGTTTTTTTATCTTGTATATCAAATCAACAGAAATGGAATTCAATAATATGTATTAGATTGTTGAGGACATCTTGTGCACTTCATTGAGGCGGGATTAAAAATGCTCAAATTTGTCTTGGTACTGTAGTTCGGTTTTTGGGAGGTGTATGCAAAGAAATTGGCGCAGAAGTCGACTGAGCTCATTTTCAGGATCGTTTTTTGATCTTCGATCTGCGAAACGGGTAATTTTTATTCCTACATGGTGCTCATGCTTGAACACGAATGTGCACTGCACGCGGGAGATTGATGAGCACAAAGGTCAAAGTGGATTTTAGCCATTTTTACGCGCACGATTGCAATAACACCGATTTCACTGAAGTTATATTCGTCGGCATCTTGGTCCGTTAGTGAAATTTCTTCTATAAAATCCTAAAACAACTTAGCGCTAGTCTCTAGCCACTTCCACAATTCAGTGGTTTTGGATGTGAGTTCCGTTATTCCATGTGTTCATGTTTCAGTTCGACTTCCGTGTAAAACTCTGTAAAGGGACGATAATAACTTCAAATCATGCTAGACTTTTCCTATTTGTTTCGAAGAATAGAAACTTATATACTTTTCTAGCCGGTTTAAGATACTCCTTGGTGTAATTTGCAATGCAATAGTCTTTAGAATCAAGACAACCTCCCACTATTCCATCCCTGCTGATGAATTTACAGACCAATAATTTATTACTTTTGACTTCTTATATGGGTAAAATCCAAATTTCTGTGAATGGAGAATCGTGTGTGAGTCGAATCGTCACATACAATCCACTAACATCCTTCTCTGATTTACCGACATGATGGACACGTGGCGCGACCAAATGCGGTCATAATGTCACTCCGTGCACTATATTGGATTGATTTGCATTATTTGTTACGCCCCCAATTAATTTTACCTATTACATCAGGTACCACGTGGAACTTGGCACAGTATGTGTGTGTTTCACGATTTTCAAATCGTTTAATGTCCCTCGACCACTTGATTTGCATTGTTGACTCGGCGAAAAAGTGCCCTTATTTTCTATTCAAAGTAGATGGAAAGGAAGTGGGTTTACGATTTTGCTATAAAATCAAGATAGAAAAACTTTGGTGACAGTGTTTCTTTTGATGGTTTATTAAAAAATCATGTTATCGAACTGTGAAATGCATGGAAGCAAGATGACTTTTCAAAGAACTTTTATCTTCGGCGTTATTGTGGGTTACGAGCACTTGAGAATTTCTTTTAGCTGTCAAGTGAAAAGAAACCATTCATCGGCAACGGAGGTCAGCAACTCACGTCGTTATGCTGTCTCATGAGCTCACATGTTCCTGTAAACTTGCGCCATGTGTGTAGCAGACTGAAGCAAACTGTTGAAAATTAATTCATACTAAAGGGGGAAGGTCTGTTCAGTTTCATCAGCAGGTCCAATAATAACTTGCCTTCTTTCGGGGTAAAAACTATGCTTAAGTAATCGCATCTACGTACTGTGTACTCACTAACTAGCTGCATGCTCGATTTGGTAAAACTTTTATTACCATCTTCACGGATATGTAATTGCCCACTTTTCTTACCTGAGCCTGGTTAAGTGCATCCAATAATGGCCCAAACAGTCTTGTGGGATTAAAAATATTTAACTTCTGGGGCAGCTGGAAGTTGACAAGAATTTTGACACCTTACATCATAATAAAACAATAGAATGCTTGGGATTGGCGGTCGATTTCCCCTGAGACTTTGGTAACGAATGTGCTACCCCATTTTTTGGATTCCGGGCTATATGTAATGCCGTAGTGGTTTCGTGGTGGAGCTCAAAGCAGCCATTGATGCACGTTTATGTTATTCCAGTTGAATAAGAAGGGTGTTGACTCTCGAAGGCAAAGAAAGTTGACGTTGGTTTTGCAAATTTTAGATGATGGTGCAACGTGTCCTGGCTGCAAAAAGTCTGTCCCACGCTCAAGGTGCCACATTAATGGCCGGATTCATCAAACTCTTTCCTCTCTTCATTATTGTCATGCCTGGTATGATCAGCCGCATCCTCTACCCCGGTAAGCCCTTCTGAATTACTAATTTGAATCGACGTCTAAGTACAAGGTCTATCTACTTTCATGAGCTCCAAACTTCTGATACATCCACATTCCTTAAAACATTTACTATCGCATCAAAGAGGGTCAGTAATGCTCAATACTTGAAGTGTAAGAATCATGCTGAGCAGTTGTTTTGCGCTATACCAATACGAACGTAATTACAAGGAAGGTTTTGAACTTTTGTGGATTCGAGAGAACCAAAGGGAGTGTGCGGAGCTTCTCAATTGTAGTGCAAACACTCACGCATCCACACTCTGGCGGGACTTGTTGGTGTAGTAGTTGAAGTACTTCCTCCTATCTCATTAAAAACATGCTATGAATCCTAAGTGACATTTATGTGGCGAAGCCTTAGTGAAGAAACCCATCGCTTATTAGTAGTTAGCGTGCCGAGCTCATTGTGATTGCTGAGTCTATCCTCCGACGTCGATGACAGTTGAAATATGGGATTATAAAAGCCTCAAATTTGCTTCTAGATTGGGTATATTTAGCAACTTCTTTGGGTTTAATAGAACGAGAGGTTGTTACGGGCACTCTTGCCCTTTGACTAGGTTAAATAATTGGAGCATGCAACCGTATAGAGCTAGAAGAACACGAGGGAATCAGTTTGAACCATCTTTAATAGGCAGGGTAGTACCAGCGCGGAAATTGAGTTACCCCCAAAGATTTCAAAAATACATAGTTTTCAAGGATTGAAGGACTTGCAGCATAGATGCTATTTGCAGGGCTATATGGCATCATCGCCAAAGTAAATTCTCGGGCGATTGGTAGGCTTTTCTAATAACTGTAACTTAGCAGATTTGATACAACATTTCATCGACTAAAAGCCGAAGTCATTGTATCTTTTGTTGTTGAGAGGCTTGGAAGAATGGATGGATCTGATATGCATTAAATTTCTGAATTTCGTGTCTACCCGCTTTTGCATTCATGTAAAAGCACCCGGCAGTTTCAAAGACATCCATAATGAGTTTTTCTGCCAACAGTAGCTGGCATCAATGTCGCCATTATGAACAAAAAGTGTCTAATCACTTAGTGACTTTGTGGCCGGCCAACTTTTTATGAAATTCCTTTTGATGCATCTGTTGTGGACGGCGTACAGGGTGGGGGGGGGGGGGTAGGGAGTGAGGGGTGGTCAGAATAAATCATTATTAGCCTCTAGAGCTTTCACCGATTTATCGGATCCCACCAGCCATGAAAGTGTCCATGTTTAGTGCCAAAAAAGTGGACAACTTTTGGCCTCTTTTGTAGTTTTGAAATGAAAATGAAAGTATGTACTTTCATGTTGTTCTAGATGGTAACAATGGAGGCTAAAAGTACTACATATACCCCATTCCATTTTCAGACGTAGTAAAGTGTCGGTAACGCCTTCTTTCTTCTGCCGATAAGTAATTGGCTGGAACGAGGAAATTTTGTTATTTGGAGACGTTTGTCTTGCTTTACTGTCACAGCTTCATGTATTAGGGAAATGTCTACAAAGTAACAACTCAGGACCACTTTGATAACTTCTGTGGTGATTGTTCTGCTTTTATGAACTCGGAATTAGGAGATTCGGTAGTAAGTTATTTAAAGTGGACTTTATTTCTTGTCTGGGCAGTAAGTCCTTTGGAAACAGCCTTTGGTCTATTCTTGTAACCACTATTCCATAGTAGCTATCTGGTTTCTTTTGAGTACAGCTGATCTCAATTACTGCAATAACCATTAATAAATCACGTTTTAGAGCAAAAGGTTTCTGAGTGATAAATTCTGTGAAGTTGTAGGTTCTTCTGAACCCAAAACTCTTTAAATAGTGAGATGATGATCTGAAGTTTTAACTACGAGTATCACTAGTTGAATTTATGCGTGTTTTTCATAAAATGACC